TGTGTGTGCATGAGTGTATCTTGGAGGGGCAGGAATAGGCTAAAGATGTGATATAAAATAAAGATGTGATGTAATAAAAATGAGAATTTTAAGATGTTTTTACTTCTAATCAAGTAGTAAACTTCATTTAGAGTAAGCAACAAGATTACATTGTTTCCACTTGAGAACTAGGGAATAGGTGGTTAGCTTTCAAACATTTCATTGGATAAAGGAATATACTTTTTAAACTTATGTTAACTGTAATGTTATTAGTAGACTTGAACTTTCTGCTGTTATCCCAGTGAAAAGTAATGAAAAAAAGCCAAGTAATAATGAGGTTCTAAAGATGATGAATTTTAAGTTTCATCTTAGAGATAATAAGCAACTACTGAATTTCTTTCAGGTCCTGAATATTCACAGATGCCTAAATACACTGGCTTTGGATATGTTTTAGTAACCATCTTTGGATATAGCTTACTAATTGTTGATAAAATCTCAATTTGGACTAAGGTTTTCACACATAGAATTGGTTTGATATTGTCAGGATACTTTTTGTTGGTTTCTTTTTTTCAGGCATTCAATCTTAAAGCACTCAGCTTTATAGAAAAGGTTTGTCTCAATTTGTTGAAATTCATAAATTAAATGGACTGGTTGTTCATAGCATTTCAGTAAAGAATAAAAGAGAAGTCTGTAGTCTCATCTAATTGATTGATTAAAAGGGCAGTTTTCAAATTAGGACAAATACCAGAGGGCTGATTATTTAAAGATGGGTTTTGATATGGCAGTTATTTTTTTTTAACTAAAGCTTCAACTTTTAAAAAAATTATAAACCCATATTGCATTTTATTTTACGAGCTGTTGTTAAATGAAAGATTAATTTTTTTTTTCAGTTTGAAGTCTCTCTCTGATAACATCAAGAGACAAAAAGGGCCTTATATTACAAAATCCAAGCCTTCCTCTAGTTTATGGATAGCATTATCCGGAGGTGTAGGAGTGTTCAGGGAGGACTAGCCCCTCTAGTGTGAGAGCTTGCCCAGCCCTTTTCAGGGCTGCCCATCCACCTTTAGTGTCCACCTGGCATTCAACTCTCACCTGTGGCTCCAAGAAGCTATAGCACACACAGCGGCCACACCTTAGTAAGACCAGGTTGAGGGTAACCAACAGGCCTCAAACCCATTGGTGAGTTAGGGGAATGTCTGTCCTAAGCATGTAAAGACTTCTGTTGCCAGAACAGACAGATGAGAACAATTTATTCCACGAAGGCAGCTGAAGCAGACACTGTTGAATGCTTAGAGCTTGGTCAGACATCAAAGACACCAAGGTCATCCACTGTATCCTGGTCCGTTGCCAGTCATCATAACTTGGACTTTGATGACTCTGGAAGAGGCAGTGAGGCTGACAACATTGTGAAACTCTGCTTCACTTAAATACATTTCACACACAAGTCAAGACATCACCTGTGATGTCATTAATCCTCTTTGAAAACAAAGGATGAACCGCAGCATTATCCACATCATGTACAGGGTTCAGTCAAAGACAGCAAGTGGTATGTGAAGACTGAAATTCTCTGGGCTTTCAGATGAACTTTACTAGCCTAATTTGAAGTTCTTCTTGGAGCTCTCTTGTTTTTAAGGTTAGCACCAGAAAGTTTGAACTGGTTTTCACCACATGGACTAATTACTGGAAGGCCAATGTGATTAGATTTTGTCAGGTTCTACTGAATTATTCTAGGTCTTATAGCTCGAAGACTTTTGTCTTGCTACTGGATTTTGATGACTCTGAAAGAGAGAGTGAGGCCGACAACTTTGTGAAACTCTGCCTCACTTCAGTCCAATTTGTGAACCAGTCAAGACATCATCCTTCAATGTCATTGGACCTCTTCAAAAATGAAGGACGGGGGAAGCTAGATGGCACAGTAGAGCACTGGCCCTGGATTCAGGAAGACCTGAGTTCAAATCTGACCTCAGACACTTGACACTTACTAACTGTGTGACTGGGCAAGTCATTTCACCCCATTGTGTTGCCCCCCCCCCCCAAAAAAGGACAAACAACAAGCAGATTTGAGCAGCATTACTTCTCGGCAAGTGACTTGGGACTTGGGAAGTAGATCTATTCCTTCTACAGTTAACAAGTGACATTCTAATTAAGGACATCATAATATTTAAACTGAACTGGGCACTTTGTGAACACTAGTCTCGGACAGGCCATTTGAGCACAGACTTTCCAAGGGAATCAGATGACTTTATGGGATGGCTTAACTCACGATAACAGAATAAGAAATATGTTGTTTAAATGGGCATTTGGGGTTGGTTGCCAGGAAAAAGCTGGATTAAGGAAATTGTGATATGATATTAATTGTGATAATAACCCTATATTGTTTTTGTTTGGCTGTTGTATTCAGTGTTGTCCAATACTTTTATCTACCTGTGGAAATGTTTTTCATACAGCTGGTGTTGAGGCATCTAGAAAAGAGACTGACAGAATGTATAAGAATATGGTCATAGAGAAGTATTTCATTTACTTCTGGGACCATAAGGAGGTGTAGGAATTTTTTATTCCTTTTTCTCCATTATTATTTAAGTTGCCTTAATTGTAAGGAAAGTCACATAGCTGGCTATGATTTTCACAAGAGTCCCAGTTCTTTTGATCTAGATAAAAAACATATGGGGGTGAAAGAATTCATGATATCCACCTGGTGGCTGTAAATCCCGGGTTCCTCACTCATTAGGGATTTGTTGATAAACTGTCTTCTTCAGTTATCTTTGAACTATAAATCACACCAGCGTAATCTTTGTCACGTAAATCTTTACTTTCTCTTGTCAGTGATTAGAAATTCCTTTCTCCTCGTGACAGCTATAATACAAAAATTGTATTATTTTCTTTGTCTCTCTGATGTAATTAGAAATTATATAAACTTTAGGAAATCTTTGTTCCTGGTTGATAGATATTTTTGAATTCTGGGCCTATGCTGAAGCATACAAAACAAACCTTGGTTTTACCTCCTAGCTCTCTGCCTGTTGAAAAGCATGATTGACAGCAAGTCAAGGAACCATTGGCTATTTCCCTAACAAAACAAAGTAGGTGCCCATCCATTGGAGAATAACATCACAAATCATGGTACGTGAATGTCATGGAGTGTTACTCTGCTGTAAGAAATGATCAATGTGATGAATACGGAGACGCATGGAAAGATCTCCGTGAACTGATGCAGAGGAAAGTGAGCTGAGTCGAGAGAACAAGCTACAGAATGTCTACAACAATGAAAGAACCAGAAAACAATAAAAAACTAATATTCTCTGTAAAGAACAAACATGGTTCCAGAGGAGAGATATGAGGAGACACCCTTACCCCACTCCTTTGCAGAAGTGGTGTCAAAAATGGACTTTTGGGAGAACATAACTGACTTCATTTTGTGCCATATTTGCTGTTATATTTCTTTCTTTTTCTGTGTGACGCTGAATGTCTCCTTCAGTAACTCCCTTCCCCCAACCACTTTATGATCACAAAAGATAATTCATTGGACTTACAATATTTCTAGGACCTCATCTTCTTCTCCTGTCTAATAAAGCTTGTAGGCGCTTTACAAATGTTAAACTGATAAAGAGGATTCTGTTTGCTTTGGTCTGGTATAAATAGCCATGCTGATAGGCTAAGGATCCCTTTTTATTTTCTTAATAAAAGTGACTTCTCCTGCCTACTGCTGTACCTGATGTGATCCCAAACTGCTTTGCATACTATCTTGGTATAATCTACATACATACAAGTATATTATAAACAAATATATAAAACAACATATATATGTTATCTGTGGAATCGTGAGATACATATAGCCAACACCTACTGATGGGATGTGTCACACTCTTGGGTGGATAAATAAACTGCAGCGTACCTGTCTATTATCTATATGCTGTGCTGACTTATTCCTGAAGTATCTAGCAATGACCCTGAAAATTCTTGCAACCAGCGAGACGTCCATAGGTATACAGTGCAGTGTACGGATTTTCAGACTTTTTTTTCCTATATTGATCAGATTTGCTGATTTCCCTTTTCCCTCTTTACAAAACATTATTTGCTATATGGGATGGCTCTCTGGGAGTAGAAAGATACTAGGAGAAATTTTGGTGGTATTAAAAACACCCAAAAGATCTCAATATTTTTTACTGCAAGAGATGTGTAGGTAGAAATAATAAAACTTGTCGATGGATGGCTTTTGAGCCTGAGGGAGGGAAAAAGAAGGAAAACACTGAAGTGTGGAACCTTCACCCCTCCCACTTCAGAAAACAGCCTACATCGAGGGCGAGGGTGGGGGGAAGTGATTAGCCCTCAATCACTCATCCCAGTAAAGGCTGCTTCGGGAGGCCTGGCCACCCAAGGCCTTGCGGGTGCTTCGAGACCCTCCACCGTCACATAGAGACAAGCGGTGCATTCATGCAACACCACTGGGTGCCAAGCACTGTGCTAAGTCCAGGGCAAATAGGCTTCCTGCTCTCAAGGAGGTCACGGTCCTACGGGAGGGACGAGTAACAAACAACCAGGTCAGGACAAAGTACAGTCAATGGGAGGCAATGTGGGGGGGGGGGGGGGGAAAGGCCTCCTGCTGCACGCTGCATTTGAACTGAGACTTGAAGGCACGGAGGGCAACCAGAATGCACCGCGCACCGTGCCTGGCACGTAGTTAACGAATGCCTGCTGTCCTACTGACTGCCTGTGGAGTAGAGCATTCCAGGGACCCGGGCCAAAGCCGCGCAAAGGTTCGAAACTACAATGTCACAAGACGAGCACCCCGCTTCTCCCGCGCCAAAGGAAACAGCGACTTCTTCAGGCCTTCTGCGCATGCTCCCAAACCTGGCCTTCTGCGCATGCTCCCAAACCTGGCCTTCCGCGCATGCTCGCAGCCTGGCAGCGCCCGCCAATCTGCGAGCGCAGGCCTGCGTAACTGAGCGCATAACCGAGTGGGCGGGGAGTGTGAGGTCGGAAGTGACGTAATAATAGTAGGGCGTGAGGCATTCCCCTTGCGGCTCGCCCCCGGAAATCAGAAGCGGTTTTTTGCTGCCGCTGTGGCTGAACTGGATTGACTGGCGAGCGGCCTGGGCTGGGGGAGGGTGGCCAGCATGGCGGAGGGCTCACGGGGGGCTCAGGAGAAGGTCCTGCAGTATGAGACCTTCGTTAGCGACGTGCTGCAGCGAGACTTGAGGTAAGTGCGAGGGGGCGTGGGGCCTGAGGGGGGGCGTGGCGGGCCGGGGGCGGGAGGCCGGCCGCGGGCGGAGCCCCAGACACCCCCTCCGCCTCGACCCCAGGCAGGTGCTGGCGCAACGAGAAGAGGTGTACAGAAAGCTGGCGGGTTACTTGCAGCTGAAGAACATCCTGGAACGGATCCAGGTAAGAAGGGCGGGGAGCGGAGCTCGGGGGCCTCAGCCCTTGGGTCGGAGGGCTGGCCGGCCCGCTAAGCACACCCCCCCCCCCCCCCAGGCATCGGGAGGTCAAAACCTGCGCACCCAGGTGGATTTAGGATGTAACTTCTACGTGAATGCGGAAGTGTGAGGGCCCCCCCCCCCCCAATCGGGGGATCACCCTAGATCTAGGCTTAAGCTTCTGCTGTCATGGACCCTGGAGCAGTGTGGAGGGAAGCCTATGGGCCCCTGCCCCCATTAAACTTGTTAAATGCATGAAATAGAATATTTGGGACTCCAAAGGAGATCAGTTCCATTACATTTCAGTCAGCAGGGGGGCTTTTTGTTTTAAGTTCGCAGACTCTAGCTTAAAAACCCTTGTTCCATAAGGACCACCCTACCTCCTCCTCCCAGAGCCCAGAGACCATCCCAAATGCAGGGGAGTCCCAGAGGGGCCACGAGGTCCGTAGGGAGCCCCTTGACAAAAGCCTCTTGTCTTCCAGGCCAGACCCTTCCCGGATATTTGTGACGCTCGGCTATGGCTTTTTCCTGGAACTCACATTGAAGGAAGCCTTGAAGTTCATTGACCGGAAAAGCCACTTCCTTATTTTGTAGGTTTCACAGAGTTTGGGGGGGAACGAATGGAGGGGGGAACGGAGGGAAAAGGGACTCTGACAAGCTCTAGCCACCTTTTCCAGGCTCAGTGACAGACTCACCCGAGATTCGGTTAGGATCAAGGCCCACATCCGACTGGTGCTGGAGGTGAGGAGGGAAGGAGGGCCAGGAGGTCTGTCCAGGCGAAAGCTTGCTTTAGAACCTAACTTATTCTGATCCTGTGTGCTCTCTTCTCTACCAGGGCCTTCGGGAGCTGCAGGGGTTCCTAGAGCCCGAGGATTCAGGACACTGATTAAGATGCTGAGAATCTCCTTGCCCTAATAAGACTGCTACTGAGGCACCAAATCTGTTACTTGAAATGAGAGATCCCTTTAATAAAAGCTGGGAATGAGGCTGGGGGCGGGAAATCTTTGTTGCCATGGAGTTGGGGCATCCTTCCTCCCTACCATTATCTTCTCTGCAGTTGCAGAGCCACTGTCCCAGTTCCCTTGCTGTTGGTTCCTCTTCGGTTGCGTTCGACCTGGCCCCTCCCCCCTGCGGGCGGAGACTTCGCGGGAAGACGTTCTCGTCCCGGCGCCGGTGTTATTTCTGCGCAGGCGCACAATGCGTTTCTTTAGTGGCTTTAGTTTTGTCACTGCAGTTGGTCCCTCCCCTTGGTGGCGCCTTGGTTGCTCCGACTCCGGGTCCCCGCCCCTTCAGCTTTCCCTTACCACGTGATTACTAACGTCAGCCAGGCCCCGGCTCTCCTATCCTGGTGGTGCTCTGGGTCGGCTCCGGGCTGCTCCGGGCCGGGCAGACTTAGATCGTAGTGGGAGGAGGAGGCGGGGGGGGGGGGGGGGGGGGGGG